TTACAGGGTACAACAGCCCATGTCTCTGTCTAGGAATGGGAAAATTGTGTGATTCTACCCTAGGGAAGTAATGACACAAGGCCTGAGTGGTCTGCACTCAGAGTGGCCAGAGAAGGAGTCACAGTTGCAGCTAACCCTGTAACCATAACCATCTATGGTTAGAACTTAACAGGTGATGCTTTGAAAACATATTAGTGATAATAAGGCACTTCACTAAATTTGCAAAGACCTTCCCAACAACCAATAAATCAAGCACAAAAACTGCTGATAAAATATTCAGAGATTTTAGCCTTCCCTTTGGATTTCCTGAAGAGATCAATTAGGGACAGGTTATGGAATTTGAAAATCAATTATTTGAGAGACTTGTGCTTGTTGTGGGCTATAAAACTCTCATGTCACAGCTTACCCTGTGGAATGAAACCTTGCTGAACAATTCAACAGAACACTATTAACAGTGTCACCAACATAAACTGAAGAACAAGAGTCAAATTGGAAGAAGTATTTAAATACAGTAGTACATGTTTATAACAGCTCCGAGCATGAAACTGGTTATTCTTCATATTCCTTGCCGTATTGGCAATCTCCAGGATTACCCAGATAACTTTTAAGATTTCATAGAGAACAAAGAGAGCAACAACTATTTCGTCTTCAAAGACTAATAGGAAGAATGGATGAAGAGCGCTTATGAGATTGCAGTTCAAAACAATAAGACGACAGCAGGAAAGAAAACTTATTAGAACTGGAAAGCTCTGAACAGTTTTGTACCCAAGGGAGACAGATATCTTGCCAGAAGACTGTCCACAGAATCACTAGTCATATTGAGAAGACACAATTTATTCTGTCGATGAGTATAGGGTCTGTGTACATAGTGAAACTCCAAAGAGGAGTGGATATAAGTAAAGTAACTTTCTTTGCAACTTCCAGTTCATTCTGATCACCTTTCGGTGAGAACCCAAAAAGGTAAAACACAAGCATAATGGCAAAGAAGAGAAGATATTAGGAGTAGAATCCAATGGGCTGTCAGTTGTGCCAAATGAAGACACCCATAGCTGGATACAATTACAAATCTTTTGCAATTGCCAACAGAGGGCAGAATTTCCAGGTGGGCTTCCAGTTCACAGAAGTAGAATAGCTCCAGTGTCCTTGAAGTACATTTACAACAATGTCAATGTGTTTTTTTATTCAAAACACAAGTTAAAAATGGAGGGCAGAGTTTCAAACTGGGGACCATTTGGAAGAGTTGCTCATTGTGGTTTTCATCTGGCAGGCTAGCAGAACCACACTTCTGTATGAGATGGATTGAGATGCAGGAGCTAGTAAAAGCATGGGAGAGATGGCTCAGTCCTTCAAAAGTAAGTAGCCTCCCCCCCCCCTTCTTGGTTAAACAGACAGAGAAATCCAAAGCAAAGTGAAGGTGGAAGGCAGGCTTCAAAGAGTATGAAAAGGAAAATCCTGCTATGGAAAGTTAAGGAATACTAACACAAGTTACTGTAAAGTGATTTCCAGTCCCAACAGAAAACAGTTCAGGTCAGCTTTCAAGATGAGTATTGATGTGCCTGTATATTCTTTCCAACCTAACCTTCCATTCAGAATGCAACACAACACCTACATGCGCACACACCCAACACTTGGTGTAATTATGATAAGAGAAAATTGAGAGCAAAAAGTCTTCTAGATAGCCAGCAAATCTGGTTGATCTCTTTTGGACTCAGAGAGTAAATAACCTAGTTCTTTACATCTGGATTCTACTTATGCAGCAAAATATAATACTCTTTCTTGTGAAAAAGAGGATAGGCAAAGATGTAAATTTTTTAGGCCTGTTTATCCTCTACTATGTTGTTTTCACTAAAGTGCTCTCCCTTTATTTTCTGCCTGAGAAACACAACCTCCACAATGACTTCCTCAGTTTCCTCCTGTTTAAAAAACTAGGCCATCCAATCAGTGAACTCAATCCACTGCATGTGCTCTAAGTGACCCCTAAAACCAGTTAGATAGTGAATTCCCAGTATAGCAACTCAAAGAGGTACAGCGCACAAAAGCTCATAGGACCTAATATTGTTTATTAAACCTATTAGGATATTTATGAATAATGAACACATTCATAAAATCATGCTGTGTTCATGAAACAATTCACAAATGAAAAAGGCCAAATATGACAAATAAATGGTTCACATTCATAAATTCCAAAGCCAAAAAGGACCATTGTGATCATCTAGACTGACCTCTGAACTTCCCCCAAAATAATTCCAATGAATAGTCTGATGAGCTGTAATTGCAAAACATATGTTTCACCACAAAAGATATACCAGGTAGTATACTGCTTCAAACATAGTTATACCTTATTATGAAATACTGGCAGTCAAATATTCATTATGCTGGGGGTTGCTACATCATCAAATCTTTTTTAAGAGGGGAATCTAAAAGGAACGTATCAATTTAAGGACATACAGCCTTCAAGTTCCATGACCTATCATGACTGGAATGCATACGGTACAAAACTTTCTGAATTCCATACATTACACAGTGCATCACCTACATTATATGTTGTAGTGAAACTGCACATTTAGTAGTGCCTGCTGAAATATCCAAGTCCACTACGATACAGTTATAATATCTGGCCCTATAATGACAACAGGTAGATTATTACTTTCACAAACAGGCTGTTTTACTTCTGTGTAGTCTGTATTTTACAATCTTTAGTATTCTTCGATAGATCATCATTTAAGTTTCTTTCTCTGTATAAAGGCACTATAAATCTTGGATTGGAAATCCTAGCACATACATATTTTTAACACAAAGCTTTCTACTTTATGGGAAAAATGTATCCTTTCTAATTCTACTTCTTGGATTTCTGCATACACTATCAATATTTCATTGTACAAGTTAACAAATGCTTAAATGTTATCTGTAGCTCTGAAGACTGATGTAAACTTGGAAATAAAACAGATTTTACACAACTTTCTCACTGTACACAACCCTCTATTCTATATTTTTGTATTGCTTTATGAGAAAGATATGCTTCTGAGTACATCAGGATTTTATAGAGCCAAATGACAAAACAAGTGAAAACAAGTTCAGCAATAACCCTTTACTATTTGGTGCTTCTGCTTGTTGATAAACATTCCTCCCAGCTCAGTGAGTGATATGAGGTGACTGAATATCATAATAAAAAAAAGTTTCTAAAAAATTGAACAAATAGTTTGTAGGGTCAGAAAAAGTCTCCCACAAGATACAGCAGGAAATATTTTCAGAGTGGTGTGTAGGCTGTGCACCACGCTCAAAAATTTCCTTATAAAGTAAAGTTTGGGTTAAGTTTTTTTGGAAATACATGTAAATACACGCAGCATGTGTTCCACAATAAACCATTTGTGCATTTTTGCTATACTATCGAATTCAGTGCTTTCAGAAGTATCTTTGTTATAGGATCACCTCTGAAATAGAGATTTGGTCTTCATCAAAAATCCACGAAGTCTACTCTATTTTCAAGGAACTTCCAATGTAAGTCCTTGGCTCTTTAAAATTGTCCTTTAATGAAGGCACACAAGTGAAGTTTTTCACTACAAGATGCAGCATGTGTTTCGGAGTGTTATCTACATAAACTGTATGCCTGGGTGCCCTTGCTGAATTACTTATGAGTTGGAAGTGTAAGTAGCTTCAAGGATTACTACCTTTCCATCTGCCAGAGGAATGATACAACCTCTACCAAAGGAAAGAGATAGTATCAAAGAAAGATGTGGAACCCCTACATCAATTCCAGCATAAGGGAAAAGGATAGGGAGACTCCACTATGCACAGGAGAATAACATCACAAAAAACTTGAAGCTGAGGGGAATTTTGTTATCAACATACAAGGATGGTTCTAAAAATTGACAGAAAAAAGTGTATTATAAGGTGAACTTAGGCAATCAGGTGGTCAAAAAGTCATCCATATTAAACTGTTTTAATTCATTAAATGATTTTAAAATGTCTGCCAATATCGTGGAATGGTGCAAGTGATGTTACAGCAACAATCCAAGGAAAGTGGGATTTACTGGTTTCTCTAATGCTTTGCAATTTTTTGCAGTCACAGCACGAGTCACAGTTACAAAGTGAGTGCAAGGTTACAGTTCTGCAAGCATTTGGGGTCAATTCCAATTACTTTACAATGAAAAGGTAAAATACAATAATAAAAAAATTCCTATCAGAGTTATGGGATGCCCATGGGGGGAAAATGGCATGGCAGTGTCACCGTGTCTGCCCATCTCCCAGAGCTGTTACCAGTGCCTGTAAGATTAACAGAGGAGAAACACTGTACTGAAGAAAATGGGCAATAACACAATTAAAGAGCAAGAAAGCAATACGTATTGGATTGCTTTATGATTTCATAATTGCAGCTTTGAGGCCCTTGACCCTAACAAGCCCAGCTAAGCATGGCTCCAAATACATCCCAGACTGGCATTTTAAATTAGATATTTTATCTCAGTGCATTTACCTGTACAAGATTTTAAATAAACTATTCAGTTGTTTTAATCCCGAGAAGCCAAGGAACCTTGAGTGAGCTAACAATTTTTATATTTAAAAGATATTATGAGCCCAATTTGAACATCTAAGGACAGATCTTGCTGTGGGCAGTTAAGTGCTTAACTTGGGGTATTTTCCTTCAATGCCACACCATGTCAGGCCAACACAATACAATCATCATTTTCTATCTGAACAGAAACACATGGGAGTGAAGAAAAAAAATATTCACAGGGATTGTTAATGTCTTTCAGTTTGAAAATAAAAGGGGAGAGGTACCTGGCATTCTGGTAGTTTAGTGACATAAACAGCATGCTGGAGGCTTAGCATGGCAGTGTACTACATTCTAATCAACAGTGAGAGCCCTAATTAATTATTCCACTATACACCACACAGTGAAAAATAAGAGTAAGAAAGTAATAAAAAAATTGTGACTTTTGACAATTATTAGTAAGAAAAAGAAGATAATAATTGCCAAAAAATCACAAAAGTTTTCATGTTACCTGGCTATGACAAAGAGCACACAACTGACACCCAAGTAAGCCAGCAGAATATACATCCAGATATCAGGGGAGAGAGGATTCAGGAAGGAGAAGACGCCCGGGTTTGTACCATTGGGCTTGCGGTACAAAATACTTATTCCGAGAGTCATAAAGGGCTTGGAAAAGTCGATGACCTTCTCTCGAACATAGGTAATAGCCAGTGGTGCAACTGCAAGGTCAGCTTTCTGTTGACAAAAATATAAAGAGAAGAGAAACAGGCCGTAAGTCAGAAGCAGCAGGCAGAAGCAGGCAATCAAATTAAACAAAACACTGACTTTACACTTGAGGAGGTCTGTCCCGGTACCTATTAAGATTAAATTTAAAGCTACCCTCTTCCTCTAGTAAGGAAGATGATTAATTCTGGTTCTCTTTCACTGAGTGTTTCTGAATTAACACAGCAGTATTTAGAGATATTACAGAAGTGGAAGGGAAAGGAGGCAAAATACAATATCCTTCAGAGGACCTGTGTCTTAGCTCTTTCCAATCTCTCTCTTAAAACTCCATTTGGCTTTGAGTGTCACTTCATATCTCTACTTTATAAATTCTTAAATGTGCTATTTAAAAAAAATAGTAATAAACTTAAGAACCAGACGTGAACATGAATGCTTTTCAAGTAGTAATTCTATAGATATAGGGTGAAATCCTGGATCTGCTGAAGTCAGTGGGAAAACTCCAATTAACTTCAATGGGGCCCATAGTGAATGATTCACCATTCCATTATACTAGTTTAGCTCCAAAGAAATGATAGAACCAGATCATACATTTAGAGCCAGATTCTGATTCCCTTACTTGCATCTTCTTCCAGGAGTAAACCAATTAACTTCAATGAGAATCTTTATACACTAAGATACAAGCAACATACCGAATGATATCACAATCTTACCCCAAAACTTTTAAATAGCTTTGTGTGTGGGTGGGTGGAGGAACTGGGAGTAGGGAGGGAGAAGGCTGCTTGTGTTTATTTTAGCAGAAGGATATTTTGATGGAAATAGAAAATGTACAGAACAGTTTTACTGTGACAATTAACAGTTCTCATATATGCTGCACCTGCAAAACAACCATGGGGAACAATTTCTAGCTATGTAGCTATATCCTTACTAATTTGCATGAATGACTAGGTGACCTCATTGTAAATTACTGAATTTTGTGACCCATGAGTAAGTGAACACTTAAACACAAAACAAAAACAAAAAAAACCCCACACTTCACAAAAAGTATTTTGTCGGCTGCCATTCAGTTTTAATTATGTCAAAAATGCATAGCAAACTAGTAAATATACTAAAAAACAATGAAGAATCCGGTGGCACCGAAAAGACTAACAGATTTATTTGGGCATGAGCAAAGAAGTGGTTTTTTTTTAACCACAACAGCTTATACCCAAATAAATCTGTTAGTCTTTAAGGTGCTACCGGACTCCTTGTTGTTTTTGTGGATACAGACTAACATGGCTACCCTCTAATACTTAGTAAATATACTGTATTTTGTAAAAATAAAGACATCAAAGTAACATGCAATCTAACTACAGCACTGACTATTCAAATCTGTATTGATGGCTGATGAAAGACTCGCAATTTTGGGGGATGATTACAAAGTATGCAAGTTAAGAAGGTGCAGATTAGCCAGATTCTATGACCAGTTATAGAGATTGAGAGAGATGTAATGAAAGAGAGATGGAATAACTATTGTGACAATAGCATGTTATTTTTAAAATGCCTGTCCTAAGCCTAAATAATACCGTTGATGTACAGTTTATTTCCAGCGATGTGGTATAGATTAATATATTTTTCTCAGTTTGTATTGTGTATATAGCCAAAAATCGCATACATTTTATGTTTCTATATGCTTCAGCCATCATAACATTTTTCTCAGTTGTGGATTACTTTGTGCTTGCTGCATACCATTTCATGAAGTTCTATAATCTGTGTACTGTATTTCACTGTTCCTATGCATATTTATGATGTCACTGAATTTACTCCATAAGTATGTTTGTTATTTGTGCAAAACTCAGATAACATTGTGCAAGTTATTTACTAAGAGCTCAGTATTGCAAGGTGCTGAATGCTCTCAATTCTCAATTCTCATTCTCAAAGGTATTAATCAGGCCATAGCATACTAATGTTGCATCGTAAGAGGTAAATATCAGTATTTTTGGGCCACTTTTTACTAATGCCCCCTGGATGATACAGAAAGACTATATAACTCATTTGGATTAAAGGCTACAGCTGCAGCTTTTTACTGAAATACAAAAAATAAACTGTGGCATCACCAGGCAGCCATTAATTCTTGTGGTAATAAGTATCAAAGGCTGAGGGTAGCTGTTATAGACTCTGAGGAGATACCGCCCCCCCATGGCTCTATAACACAGGGCACTGGGTGGGTCGTTGGCAATGGGGTTTGAACCTAGGACTTCACGATCTTAAAACATGAGCCTCCAGTTCATAGGTGTTTGAACTAGGGATTCTGGGGGTGCAGTAGCACACCCTGACTTGAAGTGGTTTCCACTATACACAGTGTTTACAGTTTGGTTCAACAGCTCTCAGCATTCCCACTATAAAAATTGTTCCAGCACTCATGCTCCTGATAGCAAAAGGTGTAGAAGGTTCACTCACCTCAATTTGTGGCCCAGCTATCACTAGAGGGGGTCACAGAGTGCTACACCAAGTGCCTGTGAATCACACACTCTTCTTGGCCAGGGAAGCTCATGTATTGGCTAGAACTGAAATTCAGGAACCACACCAGTGTTTGAGAGAAATATATTCTCATCTGGGGCCCTGTCTGTTCATGTTAGTAGGCCATTCCCACACGCTTTTCCTCCCTTAGAAGCCCTGTTCCTAAAGTTGCGCAAAAGTTATGAGAAAGGACGCAACTACCATCTTCTCATGCAAAAGATTCCCACGAGCCACGTTGCGACATTAAAAAAAAGAAATGTCCCAGGCTTTAGGAAAAAGAATTTATACTGAACTAGGCAATTAGCTACATACTGTATTTCACTATATTGGATGGTTAGAGCTCTGCTACTCCTCACCCCCATTAAGAGTTCATATATAGGATACTAATTTATGGTTTATATTCTAAATATTAAAGTGGTTGTAATAAATATTATATTTAAGGTAAGAAACCACAATATAAAACATTACCTTAGTTTAATAAATAAATAAATAAATACACATTTGGATGCTGATGCTGCTTTACTGAGTCTAAATATCTTGGAAGAATACATAATAGCTTATAAAACCTTCTTCAGCTTTATTTGTCCCTGTACAATTCATGCATCAAAACATAATAGGACAAATTCACAATACAATATGAAGGAGATATATGCTTATGTCATCTGTAAATGAGAACCCGATAGCTATAACATGTCTGTTCCAGTCTATTCAGGTACTTACACTGCACCCATAACTGTGGCTTCTAGATTGTGTAGAATTTGTTTTAATTTCACAGTACTGAATCATCATCTTATTGAAAAACACCAAATCAAACCAAACTACAGAATATATATATAGAGAGAGAGAGTTCATCCCAGTATAATTCTACTCATGTGAATGGAATTACAATAGGGATGAAATTGGTATGTTGGCTATTTTCCCCATCTTTATGAAAATCTCCACAGTGAGTTATTTGTGGGGAGAGAGTTATTTGGGGTTTCATCTTAATAAAAAATGCCATTGTCAGAAGTCCTTGGTGTCAGTCTAACTATTGTGCTCAACACACCACACACAACTGATCCAGCAGTATTAATGTCATGGTCCTCGACGTGAGATACTGTTGCATATCTTCTAAAATCAACAACGGAGTCTGCATGTGTAAACACTGTAATTGATATTGTAAAGATACATGATGATTCAAGCCCAGAGTTGTTCATTTTACCAGGTAGGGTACAATGATTAAGCTAAAAGACTCTCAAGATACTGCATGCTTCATTCAGTGGCTTGTAGCGTAGGTACCTGCACAGTCCCCTTAACAGGAATATAAACAGCAGTGTGAGTGGCGAAGCATTGGGCTTAGGTGAGTAGAGTAAAGACACACCTGATGGCTCTTTACTCACCCAAGCTCTGTCTCCCCATTGCTATTTTTAGCAATGCAGCATCCTGCTGCTGAAACCTTTCCACACTATGGGGAAAGACTCTAGCAGCTGGGAGGCAGCGGGAAAGGCTCTACCAGCTCCTTGCAGCTGGAGCCTTCCCTCACCACAGGGAAAGAGATCTGCAGTGGGAAAAGGCCCCAGCTAAATAGATAGACTTAAAGAACTCAATTGTGTTAAGGCACGTTTTCTAATCCTTTAATCATTCTTGAGACTCTTCTCTGAACCCTCCCCAATTTATCAACATCCTTCTTGAATTGTGGACACCAGAACTGGACACAGTATTCCAGCAGCGGTTCCACCAGTGCCCCAAATATAGAGGTAAAATAACCTCTCTCTTCCTATTTGTGATTCCCCTATTTGTGCATCCCCAGATTGCATTAGCTCTTTTGGCCACAGCATCATACTGGGAGCTCCTGTTCAGCCGATTATCTACCAGGACACCCAAATCCTTTTCAGACCAACTGCTTTCCAGGATAGAGACCCACATCCTGTAAGTATGGCCTATATTCTTTGAATCTAGATGTCTACATTTACATTTAGCCATATTAAAACACATATTGTTTGCTTGCACCCAATTTACTAAGCAATCCAAATTACTTTGTATGAGTGTCCTGTCTTTGTTTTTATTGACCATACCCCCAACCTTTGTGTCATCTGCAATCTTTATCAATGACTGTTTTATGTTTTCTTCCAGGTCATTGATAAAAAAGTTAATACCTTTATCAATAAAACTTGCAATTTCATCAAAAAAAGATATCAATTTACTTTAATTTTCTATACACCCATATTGATTTGCATTAATTACACTACCCTAATTTAAGTCTTTATTGAGTCCCATATTGGCATCTCCATTATCTTGTCGGGGATCAATGTCAGGCTGACAGGCGTATAATCACCCGTGTCATCCTGTTTAAACTTTTGAAAAATTGGCACAACATTAGCTTTCTTCCAGTCTCCTGGAACTTACCGAGTGCTCCAAGATTTATTGAAAATAAATCAACAATAACAGTCCAGCAAGATCCTCAGCCAGCTCTTTCAAAAATCTTGGATTCAAGTTATCTTGCTGCTAATTTTTAAAATGTCTAGCTTTAGTAGCTT